TCCTTAGAGTTCACAGCTTTGGGGATTGAATTTTTTCTCTGATATTGGGTTGACTCTTGCCAATAATGTGCTTATGACACACACTTATCTTTAGTAGTGCATATGGTCATGTATTTTCTTTAAGGACTCTATGCATGGTATGGACTATGTAGTTCTACCGTCCTACCCTGGATTTGTTAGTAATCGGCATAACTTGAAATTGATATAAATGGAGAATATACAGTATTTAAAATTATCGGAAAAATGATTAGTAGTTTCAAAATTAAACTATATATATATGACTGAATTTAACTTCTAATGTAGGTTAGGACCCAATGTGAGTGTTCAAGCTAAATACAATGATGATCATTTTAACTCATGATGAGTAAAAGGTAAGTTTATTCCAAAAAATATTTCCAAACTTTCAATTATAGAAGAAGTAATTCTAACTTAATTGCGCTTTTGTGATTTAGTTGACGTGTATGCCATGGAACTTGGTCTTTAATGAATGGTTATCTTTGTGGTTATCTTTATCATTAAAGGATCTCTGAATTTTATGAACATTTTTCAAAAAGTAAGTTATTTCTGTTTCACTTATATATTGTATAATATTTTTTTTATGAGATGGTTTAGGCACCTATAACATTATGTATATGTATATATTAAAAATTATAAAAAAATTTCACTGTAAAACAAAAAGTAATACTTGTTTAAAAACGAAAGAGATTGTGTTTTTTTATATATCTTTTAAATTTATTATCAGCAGAATTTAGCAACAATTTTTTTTATGCATTTTAATATATTTATACAATTATTTTAAAAAATATCGTTAAGATCACAGATATTCTATTTATACTTCTTTTCATTTAATTTTTTTAATCTATATTATAATGCATTTTAGTTTGTTTTTAATTTGAATCATTTAATTTTATTATATATATTATATATACTATACAATTATATTTAATAGCTTTTAATTTAATGCAAATGTAAAATCGTTATTTATATGCTTTTCTATCCAAATATATGTGTGTGTAGTATTATTAATACATAAAAAAATTATTTTTTAAATAAATTTAATGTTTTTAACAAATAAAAATATGTGAAAAAATGTTATTAAAAACTTTGCTGAATATTTTAATTTAATTTTGCAATTTCCTAAATGACGAAATATTTTAAATGGTTTTTACATGTAAATGCAAATAAAGGCAGGATAAAAGGGTGTACTATCAATATGGTTTGAGTGTAAAAAAATAACATTATTGTATTGATTTCAAGATAGAACAAAGTCGATACTGTTGAATCTAAGAATAAGTTGTATAGTTATATATGCATACTTTGTATAAATAATATACAATTATGTTATTAACCAGATACGTGTTCAGTATCTACTCTGTCCATATATATTCCTATTGAACTCTATTAAGTATATAAAAAAAATGTTGCTTGATATAGCACCAATCACTGTAAGTTATTATTATTAATAAATGAAATAATAATATAATCTATTGATTGATATGAAAACTTCATTATTTGTGTAAGTTAAAACTGTAATCACTATGGTTTAGGAAAAAACAGTAAGCTTAACTGTTTAACAGAAAAAAAAAAATAATAATAAGTCATGTATATATATTTATGTATATATGTGAATTATATTCAACAACCAATTCAATTTGTAAGTCACTTTTAATTTAATGTTTTCTTTATATTGTAAAGTGCGTTTTGTCTGTTTTAAATTATGTACGTGGCTCAACAAAATTTATAATAAATAATTAAATAAAAATTGTTTATTAAAAAAGGATCACTTGAGATCGTTTAACGTTATTATATGCGTAACAAATTTTACATAAAATTTTAGTTAAATTAACAAAAAATTATTCATTTGGATATATAACAAATAAAAGTATATATGTATATGATATAAGTTATTATTTATTGCATTATCACACACATTTTATTTGCTATTTCACGTTATAGTTATAAACAACTTTTTTATTGTTGTTATGAAACTTTACTGTCTTTCCAATATATCTAATATTTTTTATATTATATTATTTATATATTTTTATATGTACTAATTTAAAATGTTTAAGCTTAAAAATGTACATCACCGTTTTTACTGTTCTTTTATGTTTTTTTTCACTAATAATTTTTTATGTAAAAAAACATTACAACTTATAACATTACTTTCAGTTATTTTTTAATTACTAAAATCCTAATATTAAATACATAAGTTTATATATATATATATGTTTATATATATATGTCTATATATATGTTGTATATATATGTTTTATTTTGTAAATTATTAATTAAATTCTTTGCTTAACTTTTTCACAATTTCCTTTACAATTATCATTAATAATTAATATTTCAATAACGTATTAAAAATAAAATTCTCATTTATTTTTTTTTCTCGCTTAAGCATAAAATAATTTGCTCTCTTTCAAATTCATTTTTATTCTTATTTCTCTCACAAAAATTAGTTTTACGCTCTCTTGTGGAAAATTTATATTTCATGTTTGAGTTTTACTGTAGCAATTTTACTCAAAAATGTGCTCATTAAGTTCTACACATTTTTTTATCGCTCCTATGATATTGTGTGCTTAGTTCTTTTCACTCATTTTTGCACTTAATTGTTCTGAGTGTTTTTAATTTAGTTTTTGGTTATCATAAAAAGAAATTTTTAAAAAATTTTTAAAATTGATTAATCATATTTTTAATATCAAGCATCATTTCTATTCGTTTGCAGTTTTTTCTTTTTGGTTTTTGTCACAAAAATTTGTGTGAGTTTTTTTTCATAATTTTTACTCAACACTTATTTTCGTTTAGTAGTTCTGTTTTTAAATTTTTCCATTTTTCTCATAAAATTTTGTTACAAATTCATTAATATTGTTTTTTTATAATCGCTTATATGCATTAATGGTGTAAAATAATATATATATATATTACAGTATATACTTTTTTTACGTGTATATGTATATTCAGTATATATGTATATATATTTATATGTAATATGTATCTATACATAAGGTCTTGTTACTGCCTATGTATATCTATAATATGTATAGTTCAGACAATGTTTGATGTTGTTTTCTTAATCGTTTTCTCTCTATTAGTTCCCTTTAAAAATTTATTCTTTATTATCAATTATAGTAATTAATATTATTATTCTCCTGTATATTGTTGTTGTAGTTATTATAATAATAATAGTAATAATAATAATTTAATAATAAACTAAAATCTGTTCACTATTGCGGTAACTCATCGTTTGTGTCGACCGGACTTGGTGAGAGAAATTTTCGCACATATTTCGGAAAATGAGTTTTTTCGTGCGCTTTCAGTATTGTTGATCTCGAAAAAGTTTTGCCGCACATATGACATCGGAAGGGTCTCTCTCCTATTATTATTTTTTTTATTTTTTTAAATAAATAAAATAAATGTTATATATGTTTTGAAATGAATAACAGAAAATATTTAAAAGTTAAAATTTATAGAGTAAAATTTATATACATTATTAAAAGAAACTAGAGTCTGATATTACTTGAAATCTATTATAAAAGAGAATTGGATCAATTATAAAGAGTGTACCTAAAATATGTTCAGCAAATTATAAACGTTGATTATAATGCGTCTTAATGAAAGAAGGATATTAGTTGAGTACATGAGTCCCATGTAAACGGATTACCTTCGTAATACTAATCAGATCAGTACTAAATAAAGTAGATTTTCCAAATGAATTATATTAATTGTAAAAAAAAGCTTTTGCTTTGAAAAACTTAAAGGATACATAATTCAAGTTACCTAAGTAATGTTCCGCTTTCAAAACGATAAAGACGCTTAGTTAAACATATTAAGTAAGAAAGAATAAACTTTTTAATTAACTAGATATATTGCGAAATCAAGCTTTCTTAACTGCATGAGATTCACTGAGTGAGATAGCTGCACTAAATGGATGATTTCACTCAGTGAATGCGCATCAAGAGTTCTAAGAGCACAAAAAATGAGAGCATTTGAAAATATTTATCGCAAATTTTCACTCAAAAAAAAACTCAAACGCAATGCTTCTATAAAAAATGCTATTTTTCAATGCACTATATATTTTCAATACTTACTTAGTGTGAAAATTTATGAAGTGGGTACGCTTCAAGAAGAAAATACTATTACTTAATGAGTGAACTGCACTAAATTAGTGGGTTTCTCTGAGTGAAGAAGTTATACTAGTTAAATGAGCTACATTCAATTCATGAGTTTACAGAATATGCAAGCTTTACTGAGTGAATGAGTTTCATTGAGTAAATGAGCTCCATTGAACTAATGAGCTTTAGGGAGTATCTGAGCTTTACTGAATACACGAGTTTCACTGAGCGACTGAGTTCCATTGAATGATTGAGTTCATTGAGTGAATGAGCTGCACTGAATAAGTGTTTCATTGAGTGGAAAAGTTTCGCTGAGTGAATGAGCTTCACTAAAAATATACTTTCGTTAATAAAAGTGTTAATAAGATAAGATAAGATTAATTTAAATAAGTGATATTCAATAACTGTTTCAGATTCACAGAAAGTACATAATCAGAAAAATGAGAAATATACAATTGGTTTATTTTTGGATCTGTTAAGTGGAAATATAGTTAATATTTCTTATAATATACTTCTAAAAGAAATTTTCTTGTCATTTAATATTTTTTAGATTTTGTTTTTGAACGTAATATAAAGATTTTTATTGGAAATTGGAATATATTTTTTGAAATTTGAATATATGATGCGGATTGTACAATGTTCAAATTTTCTGTCGGTTTTTTTTTGTTGTATTTCCAAAACAAATAATCAGACCGATTAAATATACACCTATACATAGATTTTATTTAATTAATTCTATAATAAATTTCAAGAAAATATGAACTGAAAATCATCAAGGTTAAAATAATTAATCGTTTTCCAATGAAATATTAAATAGATTAATTTAAATCAATACAATTTTAACTTTTAAATATGAATAATTGCATTATATATAACTTACCCGTATGCACCCGACAGTGATCCTTCATATGATGTCGTAATTTGAATGCTTTGCCACAAAATTCACACTTAAAAGGCCGTTCACCTGTATGTATCGTCAAATGCGTGATAAGTGAGGCAACATCGGGAAAGCTTTTACCACAGAACTTACACAGTACAACACTATTCGGATCACTAGACGCGCCAAGTAGTGACGATGATTTAGAAGCGGCTGCTGCTGCCGCCGCCGCTGCAGCTGATGTTGATGACGAGCCTGCGCCACTTAATAACAAGCCACTGCAAGAGCTACCATTACCAGAAGCTGATGAGCCAATACCGCCGACACCGCCACTTCCACTGCTGCTACCGCCTCCTCCTCCAGCACTGCCAGCACGAGAACCACCACCACCGGTAACTCCAGCACTACCATCGAGATCTAAACCACCACGAGTACCACAGCCCGACATACTGGTAAGCGCAGCACAACCACCCGCAGCAACTACAGCCGCTGCAAAGTCCATTTCAATGGCAGCAGTTGCTGCAGCCAAAACAGCTGCCTGTTCCTGAGGATCACTACTGCTAGCCATAGCAGCGGCAGCATTCATTTGATACGCAAATTGTTGCTGCAGTGGTGGCATATTTAGTTCGTGCGACAAGAGATGCGTATTGAGAAAGGTATGCGTGGCGGGTTCACGATATTCTAGGGTTTTCAGTGAGTGCGATAGTATGTGACGTGTCAGTTTGCTTTGATGCGGGAATGCCGCTCCACAATACACACACGGAAACATTGGCGGCGGCGTCTGTGGTTGTGGCGGCTCGTGGGCAGAGCTTGGACCACTGCCACCGCCGGCGCCGCCACCGGTACCGCACGTCGAATTACCACCGATAACACCGATACCGACACCACTACCACCAGCACCGTGTGGCGACTCGGACGTTTCCTGCAACAACACCAAACAAAAATCCAACATCAACTTCTTTCTTTCTTCTTCTTTCATTTTTATTTAATTTTTTACGGTTTTTACTTTTACTACTTTTTATTTTTCTCATTTGCTTTTTGGTTCTTGTATATTTCATTTAAAAATTATTGATACTTTTTAACTTCTTCGTTTTCTTTGTCGTTTGAAAAAAAATCAAAAATTATTAAATTATTTTTTATACAGAAAAAAATAAAGTTCTTTAATTTTAATTATAATGTTGATACTAAAAGAATAATAGTTTAAAAACAAATTAAAAAAATATAGAAAAATAAGTAAGAAACGAAAATCCAATTTTTAGAAGAAAATTTCAAACAATTTTTATAATTTATAATAATTGGTTTAAATGCTAATAATACAAATTAATCAATTAATTAATTAATTTACTATAAACTCATTAATAATAGCAAATTTAGTTTTAGTATTAGAACAGATACGTTGCCAAAAACAAGAGGGGATGGCTTTTAACTTCGCCTTAACTTTTAGACGTTGTTTTGTTGTAAAAAGCTTTTGTTTTATATAACTATTTCTTTTATTTAATTTTTATATTTTATATTAAAAACCAAAATAAAATTAATATTTTATTTAAATTTTTTTTTTGTATTTTTATTTTTTGCAAGAAGTTGAATTTCGATTTTTGTTTGGGCGTTGTTTAAAAAACGTCACTTAATTAAGTTTTACTATTTGTTATTATTTTAAACTTTTTTATTTTTTTATAAGTTTTTTTTTTAATTTTTTTTTTGTTTGTAAAGTAGCGAACGTTAAAAAATATACAAAAAATTGTTTAACTTAATTTAGACGTTTGTAATTAATAAAATTTTGACGCGACGTTTGAACGATCTTGATTAATGTACTTAAATATTTTTAATATTATTTTTTATATAAAATAAACATCTGTTTTTTGTATTTTAACAATAAAAACAATTATATAAAATTTTTGAACGAAATGTGAAAAAGAGCGTTTGAAGTGTATAATAAAAATTAAATGATTTTGTTTGTTAGAATAAAATTTTTTTGTTTGCCAATATTTTTTGTGTACCAAATTCCAAAAATTTCTTAAGATTTAACAAAAAAAAAAAAAATTGTTTTTGGTATTTAATTTAATTTGTAAAATTTGGTTTATTATTTAATTTAATATTTAAATTTTGGGCCGAATAAAATTTTGTATTGCTTTTAGTTTTATAAAAAGTAAATAAAGAGAAGTTAAAATTATAAAATATTTTCAAGAAGTTTTTCCACTGCTTTTTCAATAAATTATTTTTATTTTTTTTATAAATATATATAATTTATATAAGCATAAAATTTTTTTTGTGATGGCAATTTATTTATAAAATTTGTTAAATAAATTGCCATAAGTCACTCTTTTTCCCATTTTTTGCAATTTAAAATTTTTATTTATTTTTTTTTGTAATGAAGCGTTTTTTTACAATTGTTTTTAAATTTAATGTTGCAAATATTTTCAATTTTCGTTGGAAGTTTCGATATAAAAAATAGAAAATTAATATAGTACAGCCATTTCCAAAAAACGTAGATCAACTTCTTGACAATAACATTAAATAATATATGAACTTTTTGCATTTTCTGTTTTTAATTATTTTATTTGAATATAAAATATTAATTTTAATTTGTGTTTTCTATTGTCTTTCAAGCTTTTTTTTTCTTAATTGTTGATTTGTATTTTAATTTTTTTTGCAATTGTTTTGTGGATGTAAAAATAATGTTTTGAAAAAATTTTCAGAGATTAATATATATAAATTGAAACTTAAATTTAAAACAAATTATTGTATTATACTATAAGGTAATTTATAAATCATCTTATTTAAGTTTAAGCTTAAAACAAATTGTTGAATTATACTATAAGATTATTTATGAATAAATATAAATAAATTATTTATGAATAACCTTAATTCAACCTTATGTTTAAAACAAATTTCTATATTATACTATAAGGTTATTTATAAATAACATATATAAAAGACATATATGCAACCAATAAATTGAAATAAAAAGTATTTAAGACTTATATTTAAAATACCTGATCTTTTTAGTAATAACTTTATTAATATCATTTGATTATTATATAACAATTATTTAATATCTTTAATATTTATTTAAAATATCTATTTAAAATAGTATAGTATTAATGCTCTGCCATAAAGTTTTATATTTTTACTTTATAACTTTATATAGTTATATTTATATAATTATATTTTATTATAAAAAAATTTTTCTTCTTCATTCCTTTTTGTTAGTAATTGCTAACCTTATTATACTAATTACAAGTATAAATAAATACATAATTATAATAATATATAATATATAATAATATGTATTTAATAATATATAATTAGAATATATATATAAATATATATATGTTATATTCATAAAAATAATTATATTTTATTATTGTTAAATTATTCTATTTTATAGAAAATATTATATTTTCCCTTAAAGTAAAAAACATTTTCCCCTCCTATCATAATTCATAATCATATTGTCTATTTATAGGATGACGAAAAAAATTATTTAATAATATATAATTAAAATATATATATAAATATAAATATTATATTCAAAAAAATAATTACATTTTATTATTATTAAATTATTTTATAGAAAATATAATATTTTCCCTTAAAGTAAAAAATGTTTTCCCCTCCTATTACAATTCATAATCATATTGCCTATTTATAGGATGAAAAAAAATTCATATCTTACGATTTTTTTTTATTGAAATCAAAAAATATAGATAAATATTTTTTCGCATTAACACATGCTATAAATAATAAACTCGTATTAAAGTTTTGTTTATTATTGTTTTTGTAACGATTATTTGTATGCCATTTATTTTATTATAGGTAATTTATATATACTTAAGTTACGATTTCACAGTCGTAACTTAAGTATGAAAACAGACTTAAGGAACAAATTAAGTCAGCTGAGTGGATGAATTAATTTTTTTTTTTTATAAATACTGTTAATACTGTTTAATTTAGTTCAATATAAATTTTATTGAAAATATGTTAAATTATTCTATTACCTGATTATTTTTTGATATATTAATGATAAATAATATAGAAGGTTCTCCATTTATGTATTTAAGAATTAAAAAAGTCTTCTCCTGTTGGAGACAATTTTTTTTTAAAAAAGCTATATTTATAATTTATTAATAAATAATATATAAGTTTCTTCATTCAAGTATTTAATAATTAAAAGTCTATTCATATACCAGATAATTTTTTTTATAAAAAAGAAGCTATATTTATCTATAAATCAATCCAAGTAATGTTAGCGTATACGTCTTCCGCTTTTCTCTGTATATATAAATTTTATTTTTTCTACAGATAAGTCCATTTAAATTCCATCTGAACTTATGTACCAATATATTGGTCAGGGAGCGCTAGACTGATGTAGTGAAAACACAAATATATGCATATTTCATAAATCAAAGAGTCAGTCTATCTTTCAGTCATTCTATCAGTAATTGTTTGACTTTTGATTTATATGACTAATATGTAGTCTCATTATATATCTTTCAGCTTTCTAGAACCATTTCCAGTGGTTTTGTTAGGAATGAAGTTAACATGATTTTCAGTTTCAATAGTTCATTCCTAACATTTAATATACTTAAACTGACAAATTAGAACAATCCTTAACTTAAGCTTATTAAAAAACTCTTTTATTTAAAATTACTTCAAATAAATTTTGCTTATACATATAAATAACATAACCTGATATTTATAATATACATAATACATGATAGTCACCTAATCTACTTCTGTTTATAACATATTTACATTGGGATATACTACGGATAAATATCTAAAATAAATTAGTAGTGGTATTCAAGATTATATATATAAGGCTCGGTAACTAAGTTTTATAATCATATGGTAATCTGGCAACAGAAAAATACATTCATTCAAAATGTTCGATTGGCTTTCAATAAATCTGGGGTAATTTTTTTAATCAAGATTCACTTGTAGTGTAATTGCCAGAGTAGTAATATTACCCTGAAATTAACAGCTGTTTTATATGACTTGGCAGGTGAAGTGTGATTTGATACGACATATATATTTATGCAAAATATAAATATCCACTAAAAACGTTTGATTGGGAAATAAAATTTAATATATCGTAAGTAAATCTAGATTTATCTCTAGATCGAGATAGATTTCTTAATATTTGGAGTATCTATATGACTTCATAAGCGATTTGAATTTTGTCTGGCACATAGCACCATTATGGCATCAAAATGTTAACTGAAAAACAATTGTTATTAATTTTAAGGTGGAAAGCTGAGTTATTTTTAATATTAGTAGTGTATCTTAATTGGTAAAATTTTTGAGTGACGAAAAAAAAATGATGTTGTTTCATTCTAATTGTAAACTAATATATTGAACATTTGAGGCCCTATGCTCCACTGGGAGTTAACAGAACAAGGAAGAAGAAGAAGATATTGAACAGTGTTTCATTACGAATTCGATTAAGACTGAAAGTAAAGCTAAAACATGTGTATTAATTCTAGACTAGAATAAAATAATCGTAAATTGTTAGTTTGAATATCTTTTCTTTCCTTCTGAGTAAAAATCATTTTTAAGCCGATATAAAATTCTTATATTTAATTTTTTCTTAAGAACTTGCATAAATTAAGGTATTATTGGGGTATAGGTTTAGTTAAAATTCTATATATATATAAATTTATATATAATTGTTATAAACTAACCTTATCTCTTAGCTAATTTTACTCTCAATCTGATGGATTATTTTAAATGATAGTAGACGTTTCAAATAAATATTCAAATAAAGCAATTGCGCCATTTTGTTGAAACGCTTATATAAAGTTCTAAGTATAAATCGGTACATTTAATCCTCTAAAACCACCTCTTAGGATTGAATGGAGAAGATTTCCACCACAATGCGTAAATTTCATTCCAGTAATTAACGGTGAGAGATGTGATCAAGAGGTTTAATACCTAGAGGTCTAGGTTTATTTAAGCCAAGGGCGAATCTATAT